TGCACTACGGTGCCAGAGGAATGATCTTCGACATAAAGGAGGTTGCGGACAGTTTGATGTGGCAAGAGAACAGCATCATTGAGTAAGAAATCAGTAATATCAATCATGGCATGGACCATGACACCGTCGTTCCACACCTCCCAATGGTCAGAGGCGTGAACAATAGCCCTGTAATCGTCAAACAGATATCAGCATATAATGAATGATAAACCATGCCTGGTAATGGTTGGGCACAATCTCTCTTACCTTCGGTCTGAATCGAATGCTCTTGAGTTCAAAATTTCACTGATCTCCGTCGACCGCAGAAGCGGGGCCAGTCTTCGAAGAGCATTCTATTAAATCACAACTCCCATGAACCAGAACCAATGTGTCCCATTAACCCAGACCAGCATGTCCCATGAACCAGAACCAACGTCCCATTAATCGGAACCAGCATATCCCATGAACCAGAACCAGTACGTCCCATTAACCGGGCCCAGCATGCCCCATGCACAAGAGCCGGTACGTCCCATTAACCCAAACCAGCATGCCCCATGAACCCCAAACGGCAGAACCGCCAACATAAATACAAGGGTCGAGGACAATCAAATCAAACACAGATTCCCAATCAAAGCAACAATCAGAAAGACATGCATGCATCAATGGATGTCATCAAATGCTATCATCGACTTCATCGTTGAAAAAAAAAACAAAAAAACGAGGGACGGCGCAGCCTTGACATATTATTGTTGAATGGACTGGCCACAGGTAATTCAGGAATTTCATTCACAATTTCACATCTAGTTCACATCTGGATTTGAACTCAGGTCTGCCTGTCCCCAGTTTATAGGTGTACCAACTGAGCTAGGCCCGTTGGTATCATCACTTCAACATTTATTTCATTCATTATCCCTGATGTTGTCATCCAGTAATGTTGTCCTGTTTTTCTTCTTCCCAAGGCTAAGATAAAGTGCAGTGAAGGTTCTGATCAGTTTTGAAGTAACTGTTCTGGAACTTGTGGTCCATCGGGCCGCATAAAAAAGAAAAAGAAACAGGACTCCACAAGACTCTGACCAACTGAACACTCACTCATCATCAATGCGGGTGACAAGACCTGGGTGCTTCACACATGGAAGACGAGCGCCAGGTCCAAGAACCATTCACAGACGGAGGAGGAAGAAGAGACAAAGTGGGGGACGAATGGAGAGTCGTCAACCAAATAGTGTAGTCAATATATAATCTCCAAAAATAGCCCCCAATGTCTCGGCCCAAATACAATGTCTGAGTCTGGGCAATCGCCCAACATAAACTCTCAGCTCTCATAACCTCTCTCTCTCTCTCTCTCTCTCTCCAGTGTTGTCACGCGGGGATCCTCGGGGCCCGAGCCGGGGTGGGGGTTTCACCCCCGCAACCCCGCCGCGGGGATCCCCGACCCCCGGCCCCTCCAAATTAACCCCGCACGTGCCCCACCCCCCC